GAGGATTTCTGGTTCTGACAAAGAAACTTAATCACCGTCGTAGTATATGGCTTGTACAGGCTTCCTACCAAAACGCACACATGCTGTCGATGTTTAGGGTTTCTTGATTGTTAAGGTTGAAGGAGGGCTTTGATGTTGAAGGTTCAGCCTTCCAATATTGTCGTTTGCATGTCTTGTGTGTTGTCGAAGCCCGAGCTGCTGCTGCTGCNNGCTGCTGCTGTTGCTGTTGCTACTGCTGCTGCTGTTGCGGCAGCTACTGCCGTTGCGGCTGCTGCTGCTGCTGCTGTTGCTGTTGCTGTTGCTGCTGCTGTTGATGTTGCTGTTGCTGCTGTTGCTGGTGGTGCTGTTGTTGCTGGTGGTGGTGGTGGTGGTCGTGGTGGTGGTAGTGGTGGTGGTCATCGTGTTGTTGTTGCTGTTGTTGTTGCTGTTTTTGTTGTTGTTGTTGCTGTTGTTGTTGTTGTTGTTGCTGTTGCTGTTGTTGTTGTTGTTGTTGTTGTTCTTGTCATTGTGGTGGTTCTTGTTGCTGTTGATGCTATTGTTATTGCTGCTCTTACTGTTATTGCTGATGTCGTTATTGTTGTGGTTGTTGTGGTTGGTTTTGTGGTTGGTGCTGTTGTTGTTGCTGTTGTTGCTGTTGAAGATTCTGTTGTTGTTGGTGTTGCTGCTGCTGTTGTTGCTGCTGGTTTGTGTTGTTGATGCGGGTGCTGATGGTGGTATTAATATTGCTATTGGTCGTCTTGTTGTCGTTGTTGTTGTTGCTGTTGTTGTTGTTGTTGTAGATGTTGTTGTTGCTGGTGGCGTTGGCATGTTGTTGCTATGGTTGGTGTCATTGCTGTTGTTGTTGATGTTGTTGTTGTTGGTGGTGGTGGTGTTGCCGTCGCTTATTTCTTGTTCATGGTACTATTGGTGGTCTTATGTTTGCTTTTGTTCTTGTTGTTGCGGTCTGCGTTGTTGTTGTTGCTGCTGGTGTGGTTGTTGTTGTGGTTGGTGTGGTTGGTGCGGTTGGTGTTGTGGTTCGTACTGTTGTTGTTGTTGTTGTCGTTGTTGTTGTTGTTGGTGATGTTGTTGCTGTTGCTGCTGTTGCTGCTGTTGCTGTTGCTAATGTTGCTGTTGTGTTTGTTAGTGTTCCTGGTATTACTGGTGTGCTTGTTGTTGTTGTTGTTGCTGTTGTTGTTGGTGGTGGTGGTGGTTTCACCGCTGCCAGACCAAAAATGTAGTGTGTGCAACAGGTGCTGCTGATCTCAGTACCGCCATATGTCTGCGCTTTCACAACACTTGACAGGTACAACTATTGCCCTGGCCTCACTCCTGCGTGCTGCGCGGTGGTGTCAAAGCAATTGGATTTTGCGCTAGGTGTTAGCTGCAGCTTCGGTGAAATGTATTTCAGCGGCAGATTGTCCCTAAGCTCGTTTAATTGCAGTTTGGATAGCGCCACCTCGGTGGTGCTGTAGCACTGCCTTATCTGTCTCTACGGCCCATCGCCTTGGATTGTGAATGACCAAGTGTGGGACGCCACTAGACTGGCACTCAGGGAGCCGGCTCGGAGTAGCCTGCTACTCCGAGTACGACCCAGCAATCTTAGGTTCGTGAGCAACGGACGCGCTGGCTCACACAGAGGGTGTCGGGGGTTGTATACAGCTTTTCACCTGAGCACGTAACTATACAGCTTTCACCTCTGAACGAAGCTTGTGGCTTCGTGCCTTTCGGTTCACGTCATGCTATTTCTGGTCTTCAAGTCCTTAGAGCAGAGTCAGCTTGTTTCAGTTTCACTTGAGTGCAGGTCTCGGCAATACGCCCGCCAAGCGCAGAGCACGCTCGCGCAGAGTTCAACTGCGAAAACTTGGTGGTGGTGGTGGTGGTGGTGGTGGTGGTGCTGTTGTTGTTGTTGGTGGTGGTCTTGGTGTTGTTGGTGGTGCTGTTGGTGGTGCTGTCACTGCTGTTGCTGTTGTTGATTTTGTTGTTGTTGTTGTCGTTGTCGTTGTTGTCGTTGTCGTTGTTGTTGTTGTTGTTGCTGTTTTTGTTGGTGTTGTTGTTGTTGATGTTGTTGTTATTGTTCTTGTTGTTGCTGTTGCCAGCGGTTGTTGTTGTTGTTGTTGTTGTTGCTGTTGTTGTTGTTGTTGCTGTTGCTATTGCTATTGCTGTTGCTGTTGGTGTTTTTGTTTTTGTTTTTATTTTTTTTGTTGTTGTTGTTGTTGTTGTTGTGGTTGTTGTTGTTGTTGTTTGTAGTTGTTGGTTGTTGTTGTTGCTGCTGGTGCTGGTGCTGGTGCTGGTGTTGTTGTTGTTGGTGGTGGTGGTGGTGGTGGTGGTGGTGGTGGTGGTGGTGTTGGTGTTGGTGGTGGTCTTGTCTTTGATGTCATTGTTGTCATTGGTGTTATTGTTATTGTTGCTCTTGTTCTTATTGTTATTGTTGTTGATGTTGTAGCACATTTAAGCACTATAAGCATATGTGCTGATTTTCGAGCTAATCTCAGGAATCCATTGTTCAATGCCCCGGCTAGTAAAAGCCCCACTAAGTTCCGATCTATTCAGCATTCACGAAAACATACACTTGTCAAAGCCTTTGTTTCACACAATTGAACTCCGAAACCACACACCTCAGCACCTGAAGCCCTGCCTCGCCAATATAGAGCCATCGGAGGCTGCGGACGAGCTCCTTGGGCACGAACATAGGGTATTAAGGGTTTATTAAGGGGTTTAGGTGTGTGGGGGATTTGAGTTTAGGGCTGTAGGTTTAGCGGGCTTAAGTGTGCATAGAAATGGAGGTTTCTAGGACTGAGGGTCTTGGGCTCTCCGGGCATGCCAGGATGTTCGGCTGCGCGTGCAGACAGCCACCTTGGACTAACCTAGCGCAACACGTCAGTTACAGCTTTGTGCGTCGTGAGAGCACTTCCGTGTCAGCTCCCAGGCCCTAAGGCTGGCCCTAAGGCCTTCCTCCACATTCACAAACAACAAGGCAAGGGCCGAACGACTCTGCTGTCAGGGACAACCGTTCGAACGCACCCGTCTAGAGGCTTATGGTCGAGAGGTTTGCCAATAATACAGAAACATCCCCAAACCCGAGACCCTCGAAACGACATACTGGGTGCTACCATACTCTATGGTTTCAGAAGGACTCCCCTCATCACCTCCAATCTCAGTAGCACTCCTAGAGCCCAGCACTCCTAGCCGTAGACCTCTTTTAGCACACCCCCTCAATTCCAAACTTGGCCCCAGACCCCGTGCTTACATCCTAAAAGAGTTTCTGAAGAGTTGACATGCAAGATTCTCAAAAATTCGGGGGTTCGTGTTAAGGACTGTATGCGCTGTTCGGGACTTTTTTTGGGATCCCTGACCTCGAAAACTGCCAAACCCCGCTGACCTTACAAGCTCGATTTGTAGAACAAGTTAATCGCGAATCTCACTTATCCCGAATGAAACGGGTAGTATCTCCGAAAGACATCAGCTCAGGGATTTGGCATCAGAGGCTCTAAGTTTAGCCCGCACCCTTCTTCGTGGGTTGAGTGTGTAGGTGTTTAGGGTCATCGCTTTAGGGTCTGTTCAAGGGCTTGTACAAGGTTTAGGGCCTAGGGCTGTGGGGTTTAGGCTTAGGGTGTTCATGATGCTCCTCCAAAATTTATTCGCATCTCAGACACATGGCGTTCACCAAGTTCTTCCTTCACCATGCACTGCGCGAACGGTACCTTAAGACTTTAGAATGTAGAGGGGCTTACATACGGCTTTGGCTTTAGCTGGGTTTCTTTCACGTGTATTGGTATGTTTTCCTTGTTGGGTTTTCTCGAGGTTGGGCGTCCACTCATAGGATGTTTAAAGCCCTTATCAAGTTTAAACCTTACTAGAACTCGTATCAACTATTATGAGACCCCGTACATCGATCCCTTGTGATCCGCTTTCCGGCACTCTGAACAAAGAAATCCAAGGTTGTTCTGTGAGCCCGTTCGGAGGCTATAGCAGCTGAGCTCCTCTTACAGCTGCCGAAAACTGTGAAGGTTGTCGGACGTGGCCAAACCGTAAGCTCCTAAACTCTATCCAACCATACTAGCCGTTACTAACCCTTTGAAACCCGAAACCCTTTAAACCCTAAACCACTTTGGGCTCCGAGGCAGCATCGGAACCTACGCCTGTTGTTTTCAGTTCCAAGCTGTCTCAAGTTCCAGGCACCTCAGCTCTGCTTCTCTTCGCCGGCCGCACCTCGTATTCGGGTCGAACCCCGAGCCGCCTAGCCATCTGCCGGGCCTTGGCCTCGGCTTCCTCCTTGGCAACGAAGTATCCGCCGAACACGCGCTTCTTCTTCTGGAGGGGATGGAAGAACTGCACCTGCCACTTCTTCTTGCTGTTGTCGAACTGGACACCCCTCACGGTCGAGCGAGGGTTTTTTGGCTTCGGGGGCTTCAACTTGCCCTGGTGAACGAGCTCCTCACGGTAGGCCTTTGCTGCCTGAAGTGCAGCCTCGACAGCCGCTTCCTCGCCAAGTCCCTGCTCGAGGAACTTGGCAGCGTTGAATAAGCGAGCTTTCCGAACAAAACCCTCTTTCTTGCTAGAGCCCAGTTGACATTGCCAGGCTGCTTTCTTCTCATTCCAGGTAATGTTTTGAATGCCGCTCTGTCGCTCCAATATAACCCTGAATTGTGGGGCTTTCGCATGCGGTTTCGAGGGCGCCTCTGCCCGCAGCAGCAACTCAGCGATCATCTGTTTGATTTTCGACCAAGCCTTCCCCGCAGCAGCACCTTGAATCTCTCCAACCTTGTTCTCGAATTTGCTGATCTTCTGTTGCACGCAGTCCAAGACATGCTGGATCACTTCACAATCGAACTGGTTCACCTGCCACATACGGAGAGCTTGCAGAAATAAAGACCGAATTCGCTTTTGCAAATCAATCGCAGAATCCTGCGAATCCGGGGCAGCTCGGACTTCGCCTTCGTTGTTAGTAGCACCGGCATCCTGTAACCTCGCATGTCTGCGAGGAGCCGCAAGGCAAGCTGCCGCCGTGTTGAGCACATCCGCGAGCTCTTCTTGGCTCAGGCTCTTCCGTGAGCGCCTCGATGCCTCCTCGGCCCGCTCTGAGCGCTCTAGCTTCTGAGCGTTATCCAGAAATGACCACTCGTTAATCTTGCGAAACAGCACGAGGTGTTGATCAGACTGGGCAGATCTACAGGGAGACCCGGCGTCGTCCGCTTCAAGGACCTGCAAGGCTACATCCGGCGCGGCTCTCATTTCAGCATCAACGGTATCATGACCCGTAGCGACAACCACTGTGTCTGCTTCGCATTCCCTGCAGCGGCGGTGCAGCTTCCGATAGCTTTTTTGCAGCCGCCTCTCCGCCTCAGTCCAAGCCTCACCGGCCGGCCTGGGGAGAGACTGGAGCCGGTGCTTCATCTCACATAGAACATCGCCCAACCGAGAAGGCAATAG